TTAAAAATATCATCTCTGCCCCCTTCCCAAACCCCTAAGAAAAAGAAAAAAGAATACACTCCCTCTGTTCCAATTTATGTGAACCTATTTGATTGGGCACGGAATTTAAGAAAAAATGAAGACTTTTGGAATTTGTGGTTCTAAACATGTAAGAAAGGAGTCCAGAGTATTTGTGTGGTTATAAAAGTTTCTCATTATGGGTAGAATTGGAAGTTTAAGCTAAATTGTTTCCAAATTTAAAAAATGGTCATTCTTTTTGGAACAGACCAAAAAGGAAATAAGTTTACGTAAACTGGAATCGAGTGAGTAAATGATTTCACTCTTTGAATGTGGATGTATTATCCACATGAACAACCCAGAATTAAAGGCCTAGTTCTACTCTGTTATAGTTTGCTGCTCTGGCGAACCTGCTTTTCTTTGTATCCTCTCTCAGTACAACTGTCTTGTTTATGCTTTTTAATTAAAACCCTATATATGGATTCCAAACTTGAATATGAAAAGGAGCTAGAGCCAACATCAATTTGTTGTATACACATAATCGTTTTTCTGGTGAAGACAAAAACATTAGGTGGTTTCTTTCCATCTATCTAAGTCTTGGTGGATAGAGTATACATGATAATTGTTGATGGTGGGAGGTAGCAGGTATTCTGTGAAAATTAGTACAGGTATGCCCAAGTTGACCTGGACACAGCGATTATTAAAAAAACACTAGTCGTTAATTAAGTACTTCCATGCCTTATTCCTAAAGGTGTGCCCGAGTGGGATTCAATTGAATCCCCTTCGTCAAAAACCATATTGACAAATAGAGTATAAAGGAATTTTTTTTGTTTTTTTAGTTTCCCACCAGGCTCAAAAATTACTTAGGTTAAAAGTTTTTTTTCCCTCTCAAGTGCTGTAATTGTTAGAATACATTCACGTGTCAGTCATTCATTACAGCACCTCACACACTAGTCAGTGCTGTGGGGCTGTCATGGGGCCAAAGCTGTCGTGTATCTTTGCACTTTTGTTGTCACATTTCCACCTCAGAACTGATATGGTATGAGCATTCCCAAGGCAATCCCAACTAACCAATTCAATGCAATGAAATAATATCAGTCCCTTTTTCTAATTGGACAAGAAAAAGGCATAGCAGTAAGCACTAAGCAGAGATGCTTCTTAAAATTTTGTGTTCCTTCAAATAATAGAATAGGAATCAGATAAGGTTCCTCTAGGGAAAAGGAGACACAATGGTCATCTAGGCAGTTAAAGATTTAAGTCATATAGGCTTTAATATTTAGATACGTTTGACTTCCACCAATAACAACCTCAGCCAACCCCATCTTGGTCGGTCTATAAATGGAAAGGAGGGATCCAACAGCTCATATATAAGATCAAGTGGGAAAAAAGAAGCATTGACTTTTATGCTAATTCACACTTCTTCATTAAGCAAAAGAAAAGGAGTCTGTGCTATGTATACTGACAGTGTAAAACGTTTCACATTATTATGTTAAGTTAGACCTTTAACAACATGTAATTTTCAATATCAGACCTGATATGATAACCTGAAAAATAGAATAATAACCCGCTATTACCTGTTATATTGCTAATAATGCAAAAGTACTTTATGTGCATTACTTAAACTCGAAGAGAAAAAGGAATGCATATACCAAGGAATACATAATCTTATTCTTGCATGTCCTATGCAACTAATGTACACTTTTCCACTAATTATGTTGTTTGAACTTTGAAACATTGTTAGTTTATAGCATCTACCATCTGCAAAAACGACAGCCAAAGATCTGTTTTTTTCTTCTTCTTTGTGTTATTCCTTGTTCTTTTTCTAAAGTTTCTAACCTATACCCTTTTGAAAAGAAACTCCATTCATGTATACTCCTTCACTTGTACTCTTCTCCATTGTGCATAAGCAAATCAGACCCTTTGGTTTTACAATGGCTTTTGCATTGCTGAGCATTTGCAGTTCGCCCGATGATCAGTGAGCGTCTGAAAATCATGACATAAATGTGTGAGAAGTTTCAAGGATAGAATTGATTAAACCAGATTTTGGATTTATGCTTCCAAATTGTACCTTGTACTGTTTTTGGAGGTCTTTAATGTACTCCACAGCCAAATCTAACATGTCTGCTGTGTTTGTTTGCTGCCAACATGATTTTACCTTAATAAGACTCCATCACAAGAACAAAAGAAAAGGTGCTGAAATTGAAAGAAAAAGGAAAATTGGTATGAAAAATCTACCTTGTCCATGTTGGGAACAAGCTCCTGTAGCTTCCTCATTCTTTCACTTATACGAGTTCTTCTAACCTGAAATAATTCTTGATTCATAATTGAACTTTAAGACTGACTTCTTGAGAAATTTCAGAGATGTTGACAAAAATGAACATAAGACTTAGATTGGGCTTAAACATATATGTACATGTATATGAACATGTTGTTTATGTCCTACCCTTTCTGCAATGCTCCTAGGATGAGTAGCACAGCCACGTTTGGCGCGGATCTTACAGGGAATAGTAGTGTCTTGGAAATGCAATAACTTCTCAATAGCTGCAATTTCAGCTGGTGTCTTTGGTAAACTTAGGTGGTGTGACAAAACTGGAGGCCTATTTCCAAGTTCTTCAATCTGGTCACAACCAAGAATGCCAATTCAAATTCCACATAATATAACAAATGATTTCAAATAGCTTCCCTACATTTTATTTCCATACCTGATTAGCATTAGCAAATAGCTTCCCCTCATTATCTAGTTGATGGGAATCATTCCAAGAGGTAAAAGGGAATCCCATATTGTAGAATTGAGCTTCTGAGTTGCCATCTCCAGACTTGTCATCATCAAGTACAGTTGTTATGCTTCTCTCGTTATCGACCTCTGAGATTCGAGACAACATTCCTAATGATGAAGGTGCCCCTGATGGGAAACTACTACTAAAATGACCTTTCAACCTGCTTGAAGATGGACTTGAATCTCCATTAGCACCATTTGCCATTCTATAACCTCCACCACTGCCTTTCAACGTGCCATAGCCTGTAATTCCATTAAACATTAAGTAGCTAACACTGAAACTTCTTATTAGTGAACACTATAAGAGTGTCAAGAATGCAGAAGCCAACACAATTATATTAGGGAAAGAAGGTGGGGAAAAGCACCTGAAACTCCCATTTCATACTAGAAGTGGATGTAGGACATGCTCTGTGGATTCAACTGAACATACTGTTTTTAGCTCGATCTATGTTAAAATGTGTACATATAATATGATCACACTCATTGAACCCACGACTCTACATCCTGGTTTCGCCTCGATTTAAACTTACCAACGACTCTACATCTTGCCATCATATACTCCAATTTGGAACAGATATGAACAGAAACTAAATCAGGGCAAACCAGAGACATGGTTTCATCTGCTTAATCTTTTAGCAACTGCTAGAAACTCTAAATCCACCAATACTTAATTAAAAAAATTAACTGAAAAAATATATAACCGTACAACAACAACTATACGAATCCTCACTTTTTCATTTGTATATAAATTTAGAAGTATTAATGAATGCACCCCTTTACCTACTTTTAAGAAAATAAAAATCTAGAGTACTTTCCCAAAGAAGAAAGATGAAGAATGAATATGAAACAGTACATACCAATTTGAGAATTGAGGTGAGAGAATAAGCCAGGTGGAGAAGTATTTTGCCTCATAAGATTTGATGCCAACTTGTTTTGCCTCTCAAGATTATTATTTCCCAATGAGCCCATCACCCTGTACCCACCACCATCCATTGACCCCACATCACCACTAGTATTTTGCCTTGGATATTGAGGTGGCAACTGTGAATTCTGAGAGACCAATTGGTTATTTAAACCAGCAAGATTGAACCCTTTATTCTCACTGCCAAAATTTTCAATCTTTATTACTCCATCTGTGAGATTCTCAAACAAAGAACTTGGAGCTGAACGAAACCTTAACAAACCAGAATTCATGTTCTGGTTTTTATCAAACTCTGAGTCCATTAATAGCTCTCTGTTTTTTTTTTTTTTTTTTGGAAAATAACACTTCTTTATGTTTGGAATTTGCAGAATATATAGAACTAGAATCAGAAGATAAACATTTGGGAGTTGATTAGTACCATATATTTCTTCTGCATAAAAGTTATAATCTTTGTCTGAAATATCAGCTTGTTTGTTAAGCAGTATGGAGATAGAAATCTTCAAGAACAAGCAAGAAAGAATAGTCTGCTAAGATTTTTTCTTTTTTTTCTTTTCAGAGAAGAAGCTTTTAGATCTCTTAGCTAGTGTATTTTCATGAAAGAAGAGTAGCAAATTATAGAAAAAGGTAATGGAGAATTTTTTATTTTATTTTTGGTGTGGTAAATAAGTGGAACCCTGAGGTCAATACAGGATAATTAGAAAATGCAAGAAATAGAATGATCTTTTAATTTTTCGGTATTGTCCCTACAAATTTAAATTCATGTTGAGTAAATCTATTAAGAGGTAAAATGCTCTTAATAATAATTTGTTTTATTCTTAGACACAATATAAAATCTCTTATTAAAAGTGATGAAGGAATCCTTATCATCACGCTATATTTGTGGTGATAAATAAATAATCTACCATTTGAACTGTTTTTAGAGGATATATATATATATATTAGACGGTTGAATCTAAGCTCTTTTGAAGGTTTTGGTTGCATGGATTTCAATTCCCACCGAGGGGGACAGATGTTCGAGCCACTCTTTTTTTGTTTCTATTTTACTTTGTGTACAATATTTGTGGAATTAGAAATTAAT